ATACAGAGTAGAGGATTTACAATGCACACAAGCCCGAAATGGAAGATTTTCCTTTAGCACGGAAGTTCTACAACTGAGGACATAGAGAGCAGTGGAGGATTTTCTCCAGCATTGTCACCAGACTGACAAAGTACTGTCGATGTGACATAATGCATATATATATATATATATATATATATATATATATATATATATATATATATAATATATATATATATATATATATATATATATATATATATATATATATATATATATATATATATATATATATATATATATATATTTATATATATTATATATATATATATATATATATATATATATATATATATATATATAAACAAAAAGAAAGAGCAGGTGGACAGTAAACATCTTGCTGGAAATTGGGCAAATAATAGGACCGAGAATGACACAAGTTCGACCCTTACCTCGAACTGTATATGTGTGTTTGTGTGTGCTCTGTGGCCTTCAGGAGAGGGGTGGGAGAGGTGTGAGCGAGTAGTTGGATTTGGGAAGAGAGGGGAGGCAAAGTTGCCCCTCAGATATAAAAGAAGACAAAAGATCACCGCACATGCTCTTCGAAAAATTGAGAGACGTATGCAACAGTATTGTGAATATAAAACATTATATATGCACCCTATAGACCTCTATACATCCTGTAGTGTTTCTCTCTACCTCTATTAGACAACTTAGCACACACCTCCCTCACTCTCCCCCGTAGAAATATTGAACGATAAACCACTGCATGTTGGCTAAAATATTATTTCTGCTATTATTATTATTATTATTATTATTATTATTATTATTATTATTATTATTATTATTATTATTATTATGCAACTCTGAGGTAATAAACCCTGTGAATACATCTTCAGTGAGAGGAGACATCTCTTCACGATTTCCTTAAAATACTTTAACATTCCTCCAGCAGCAGAATTTTTAACTTTTGATTATTTGCCGCAATTTCACATCGGATTAGCTACCCGATAAACACTAAGAGAGAAATAAATCATATGTACTTTTCTCAACACATCTACATGTATCTGCAATTCACATCAGATAGATAAAAAAAGCATATTATATTTCTACGGAAGAATAATGGTATTCAATGTCACCTAACATTCTTCAACAGAGTAATGGTTGGCAGACTGTATAGTCAGTGGTTATGACGAACATTATATATATATATATATATATATATATATATATATATATATATATATATATATATATATGTATATATATATATATAATATATATATATATATATATATATATATATATATATATATATATATATATATATATATATATGTATATATATGTATGTATATATATATATATATGTATATATATGTATATATATATATATATATATATATATATATATATATATATATAATATATATATATATATATATATAAATGTAGAACACACACTCGTGTTGTATAGACAACTGCAATAATTGAATTATTTCTCACATCATAAGGGACAGCCACATTGAAGCAAGTTTGAGGTTTCACGACAGCAATAAACACATGGTTGTGAATTACAAGGTTTAACAAGATTTGAACATCTGTCATAACGCATGAAAAGCCTCTTTGCCATTACGAAGAAGGATCGAAGTCCATTACTCTTCCCGTTCAATACGTCTATGCATATCTCACCAGCAACCAGGGCTGTGTATCCAATAAGAAACTTGACAACAGGCACAAGTTATAAGATAAAATAAAAAAAAGAATACCGTACACTAATTGACATGTACATTGACATACTAAGATTAATTATCCGTAATGGAATAACACCATTTTTTTTTTTTTTGCCTTTGTCTCTTGTCCTTAAATATGCTCTAGAGTCATGTTATGGACTCGATTATAAGGACTACAACATAGATAGCGCATCCTCACAGGAGACTTGTTTTATGTACATTATCTGCAAAAATTACTCATTATTTTCAACCCTAATGGCATCTCTCTCTCAAGTTTCGTAAGTAGAATACCAAATCTGTTCTAACTCTAAACAAAATAATCTCAAGCCAATAACGGTCAAGAACTAGTATGGGAGAAACCTCTCGCTTTCCTAAGGTTAAGATGGATTTGTAAGTGAGACTTTTGTGAGGCATCCCGCTTGGGTATCTCTCTCTCTCTCTCTCTCTCTCTCTCTCTCTTTCTCTCTCTCTCTCTCTCTCTCTCTCTCTCTCTCTCTCTCTCTCTCTCTCTCTCTCTCTCTCTCTCTCTCTCTCTCTCTCTCTCTCTCTCTCTCTCTCTCTCTCTCTCTCTCAACAGGTGCAAAAAAAGGTAATTTTTTGTATGAGTCATGTATAAATCCAGTTTTTTGAGAGCATGAAAAAATTTTCTTAGATTTTTTTATTCTTTGGGAGTCACTCAAATGTTGAAACGTCACTCAATATTGATTTTTTTTTGACCCATTTTAGAATGTTATTTAATGTGATTTATTTTTTTGCTGTTTTGGAAAACAAAACAGTAACAATAAAATTTACATCTTCCTTTCTTTTCTCTTCTACTTCCCTCCAACATTTTCTCTTCTACTTCCCTCCAACATTTTCTCTTCTACTTCCCTCCAACATTTTCTCTTCTACTTCCCTCCAACATTTTCTCTTCTACTTCCCTCCAACATTTTCTCTTCTATTTCCCTCCAACATTTTCTCTTCTACTTCCCTCCAACATTTTTCTCTTCTACCTCCCTCCATTTTCTCTTCTACCTCCCTCCAACATTTTCTCTTCTACTTCCCTCCAACATTTTCTCTTCTATTTCCCTCCAACATTTTCTCTTCTACTTCCCTCCAACATTTTTCTCTTCTACCTCCCTCCAACATTTTCTCTTCTACCTCCCTCCAGCATTTTCTCTTCTACCTCCCTCCAACATTTTCTCTTCTACTTCCCTCCAACATTTTCTCTTCTACTTCCCTCCAACATTTTCTCTTCTACTTCCCTCCAACATTTTCTCTTCTACCTCCCTCCAACATTTTCTTTCTACTTCTCTCCAACATTTTCTTTCTACCTCCCTCAACATTTTCTCTTCTACTTCCCTCCAACATTTTCTCTTCTACCTCCCTCCAACATTTTCTCTTCTACCTCCCTCCAACATTTTCTCTTACTACCTCCCTCCAACATTTTCTCTTCTACTTCCCTCCAACATTTTTCTTCTACTTCCCTCCAACATTTTCTCTTCTACTTCCCTCCAACATTTTATCTTCTACTTCCCTCCAACATTTTCTCTTCTACTTCCCTCCAACATTTTCTCTTCTACCTCCCTCCAAATTTTTTCTACTTCTTCAACATTTCTTTCTACTCCTAACATTTTCTCTTCCACTTCCCTCCAACATTTTCTCTTCTACTCTCCTCCAACATTTTCTCTTCTACTTCCCTCCAACATTTTCTCTTCTACTTCCCTCCAACATTTTCTCTTCTACCTCCCTCCAATATTTTCTCTTCTACTTCCCTCCAACATTTTCTCTTCCACTTCCCTCCAACATTTTCTCTTCTACCTCCCTCCAACATTTTCTATTTTCTCTTCCAATTTTTCTCTTCAACACTTAGAGATGTTTCATTTTTTTCCAGATTTTCGGTTCTCATATCAAATTCTACGAGGCATCATTCTAGGCTCGGTCTGGCGCCAGCCTTAATTCAGCCTGGCGCCAGCCTTAACTCAGCCTGGCGCCAGCCTTAACTCAGTCTGATGCCAGACTTAACTCAGCCTGTCACCAGCCTTAAGTCAGCCTGGCGCCAGCCTTAACTCAGCCTGGCGCCAGCCTTAACTCAGTCTGATGCCAGCCTTAACTCAACCTGGCACCAGCCTTAACTCAGCCTGGTGCCAGACTTAACTCAGCTTGGTGCCAGACTTATCTCAGCCTGGCACCAGACTTAACTCTGCCTGGCACTAGCCTTAACTCTGCCTGGCACTAGCCTTAACTCTGCCTGGCACCAACCTTTGCTCTGCCTGGCGCCAGTGCTAGGCCTGAAACTTCGTCTTGAACACATTAATACAGCCTACTCGCATCTTTTTTTTACAAATATTTTCCAGATAGTTATTTTAAAAAAAAGAAATTGTTTAATATTATGATAAAAATAATATTTTTCTCCCGAGATAATAACACTAATATGATAAAGTAATATTTTTCTACCGAGGAAATAATGACAATAAACACAAAATTAACAGTTTTCCTATACCTATTTTACTATATTATATCGAATTCTTTGATTTTTCTTTAATATTTTCGTATTATTCGATCATTTTTCTTATTCTTCTCTTCAATGTCTATGAGCAATGCTTTATGCTATTCTTTAGTGTAATATTTAGGCGACCTCACTCTGTCTGTCTGTCTGTCTGTCTCTGTCTGTCTGTCTGTCTGTCTGTCTGTCTCTCTCTCTCTCTCTCTCTCTCCCTCTCTCTCTCTCTCTCTCTCTCTCTCTCTCTCTCTCTCTCTCTCTCTCAGGCACAGTGCACGACGTCCCTCAATTAGTATATCACTGCCAAAGAAAATGAATGAATGCATATTATATGTATGCAATAAAATCACAGCAAACAGGTGATATCACAATATGCAGAACAGCTACTGTGAAAAAAACAACGAAATTCCAAGCGTTTTCATGACTCTCATCATGGAATTTCGCTGTTTTTTCACAGTGGCTGTCCTGTATATTATAAGGTCTTTCTTTACCCCAGGAGAGCAGAGGTCTTTCCCATTAGCAACAACATCTTACTGTAAAACAATTTACATCTCATCACAGTCGAGGTCTCATACCCCTAATACTGTAGCGTGTGTGTGTGTGTGTGTGTGTTATATATATATATATATATATATATATATATATATATATATATATATATATATATATATATATATATATATATATATATATATATATATATATATATATAATATATATATATATATAATATATATATATATATATATATATATATATATATATATATATATATATATATATATATATATATATATATATAATGTATTTATAAATATGTGTGTGTGTATATATATATATCGGATAAATCATAGCTTTAAACAAATAACAATGAACAATAAACTAAATTAAAGCCTCTCTCGGAGGGGTAATTAAAAGCGAATGTAACAATTACATTACTTAAAGTGATATGTGTCACTTTTTTGATATGCCTTTCCTAGATCATCACTTAAGAGGCTACAGTCCACTAGTGTATAAATTTCTAATCACTAGTCACAACTAAAGTGCTTGGTAGAAAATTGAGGAGTCCTCTCTACTTTACTAGTCAACTAGAAGGCCAGATTAATTTGCATGTACCTTGTTTTAAATACTCTACTGCATTTTACTTTTTTTTCCAAATGTTTAATTTTCTGATAACTTCATTGAAGTCAAATTTTATGGTAATATATATTCAATAGTCCTAATAAAAGTTATAAAAAAAATGGCAAGAGTACAGACTAAAGACAATAGTGAGAATACTGTCTTAAGTAAAAATAATACTGAATGAAATAAGAGGTGATTATACTACATGTACAGAGCTGTGATGTTATTCTTCAGTGTGCAGCATCACTTCCTCAGTAATACCAGTAGCAACACAAGAAAAAATGCCAGAAGCAACGAAATGACAACCATTATTCATCATATTTTATACACGCAAAATAAAGAAAGATATAGATTTTGCTCATATCATTCAGTAACAGTACTGACCTCACAGTTCATGTCACTTTTCGTAGGAAAAATTTACATTTTCTGTTTTTTACTTTCCATTAAAACATTCCAGTTGACAGGTGAGGCTGGAGCCACACTTCTACACGTTCCAACGGGACAGTTTATGTGTATAAATTGACAGTTTAAGAGAACGGGATTCCATATCCTTAAAAACAAACGTTAACAAGTACTCTTATACTCCAAGGAACTTGCCTTTGTCTCTATATTTTTCTTCTGAGTCACAAGTCATCACACTGGAGCGAGACACTGAAGAGTTCACCAGAGAGGAAGAGAAGAGGTTCAAGAAGGGATTCAAGAGGTTCGAATTATATGTATAATGGATTTAAGAGGTTCCTGCTGGTTGGCGATAATTCTAAAGACCTCCTTTGTCTCTGAACGAAGAGGTCCTTCTCTCTTCCTCTCTCTTTCTCTTTCTGACCCTTTCTTTGTCTATTTAACACTCGGTTGCCAGTCAGAAACAACAATTGCCATCAGACTCTCGGCTTGATGAATTAGGAGCGTTGCTTCCTGACTGGCTGCATCCTCTGGCCGATTTGTAAGAAAGTTCCGCATTATTTACATACAAGAAAGAGAAAACGTCCCCTGCTGAAAGATTTCCAATAATCGGCTCACACAGGAAATCCAGAACAGGCCTACAGTTTTTCCCTGGCAGATGCTCATCCTTGCAAAGGTAGTTACAAACAAAAAAGGATCACCTACCAACACACAAAATTAATGAAAGAAACAAGTACCAATAAAAAAAATCACTGCTTCTGCTTAATTTATTTTCTGTTGCGTATTTTCGGTTCACAGCAGAGCGCGCGTGTGTGTGCGTGTGTGAGAGGGCGTTCAGTCACACCGCAACTATCACGAACCAAAGCTAAGGTTGTTGAAGATGTGGACCAGCGTCAGGAGGACCAGCAGGGCCAGTGAGGGCAAGCCCAGTGCTCCAGCTCCTCCACACAGCTTGATCTCGTGCTCCTGAAAAAGAAAACACAGGTTACCATGAAAGACAGTAGGAAAAAAAAATTATCCTTCCCTGCTATACTCATTTTGACATCTAATTTCATCTTAATTAGAATTAGAACATTATTATTATCATTATTAGCTGATTATTCCTTTTGAAAAAAAAAATCTATGCTCTAATGTTCATTTAGAAGTTAAAAATGATAATTTGTAGGAGATTAATCGTACAATTGTACAACAATATACTCATTCCAGTACATTTAGCTGCATTTTAACATTTCCTACAACATGAATATACATGTAGAACTAAGGGAAGAGAGTTGTTCATCAACCAAAAGAACATTTGTTCAAAATTCCTCTCATGGATAGATTTATTTAAATACAGTACTATTCAACTTCATAACCCATATTTCAAAAGTTTTTTGATTATCAATACATTACTATATTATAAAAAGTAATAACTATTACTCATTATTATTATTATTATTATTATTATTATTATTATTATTATTATTATTATTATTATTATTATTATTATTATTATTATTATTATTATTATTATTACTGGGTGATGCTCAAGATGGCGTCTGGTTCCGTCTAAGAATTTGCCATTGATACGTAAGCCCAGATCAAGAAGGGAGCCAATAAACTGCAACTTAAGGAAATCTTTCAGAATATGGGTGTCATTGGAGGTGGCTCATCTGAGAAAGAAGAGTCAGCTGGGTTGGGTGTTACACCTGTGACGGTTGTGCATGTATATTGAACATGTGTATATAGACTTCAGCTGAAGTGTCGTTAAATGCTAATCGATGAAGAGCTAAACAAAAAAATATTTGAGTGGTAAATTGTAAATACGACCGGGACGTTGCACCCAGTGACGGCTTTGTCAAGCCCGTTTGACTCAGTGACGGCTTTGTCAAGCACGTTTCACCCACTGGGTGAAATCACGTATAAATGAAAGTTTTAAGTCCCCCGTCCATTCTTCTGTTTACTTTTGAGTTTAAATATTATTAAGGCTATTCCTTGCATGTTGTCTTTATACAACACCTCACTTTTACCTGTTTTTCACTGTTCTGTCGAAATCATTTCTTCCTTCGGTCTGACTTGGACCATTTACAAAGTCACACGGTCCAAGTCGGGCCGAAACGTCATCACAAGTTTCTCTCTCCTACGTGAGGGTTATTTGTGTATTGTTCCAGTCACGGTATTATGCCTTTTTGTTCTATGATTTGTTAATTTCCTGCTTCGAATATTTCCCTGGTTTGTTAGTGTTTTGGACTAAATTCATACAAATTCACCAGCGTACACCAAACCCGGGCCAGCATAAGGCACAGCCTCCTCTTCCCCAGATGCGCCAGAGCATTCTTTTCTGTTGCTCATGCTGTTTATATGAACAGAGAGAAAGAGAGTAAGAGAGTGGGCACTGAGACACTCTTTACACCTGCCACCTGGATGAAAGACAATATGCCAAGAAGGTAAAATATAAACAGGTGACAAGTGGGCAAAAACATTCAGTTTACAGAAGACGGTGTATTAGCGTTTATCTCCTCCTGTTAGTTCTGTCCGTTTTAATCAAAATGCCAGCAAGTAGGTTAATACAAACATTTATTTATACCTTTTGCCAGCCTTAGAGCAAAATATTGTGTGGAGGTTTGCTCTGCTACAAGTTAATATTACCCAATGCGTGTCAGCTATCAGGGTACACTTATTGACTACCATGCCTGGCAACTGCTGTGGCAGAGGTGTTGACAGGGGATGGAAGGGTGACACTCTCTGACGCCAGCACTTTCTCAAGTAAAATTTAGTATGGCTTAAGTAACAATGTAATTCTAAGAAGAGCAGAAAGAAGGTAACTTCACTTCATTTTTTTTTTAAATATTTTTTATACCCTTGTTATTATTATTATTAATTATTATTAATTACACTCCACTTAGCAACTGTCACTTAAGTAGCCAATTAAGTGGTATTTGCTAAGCGTAGTGTAATTATCTCTCCTGAGCGTAATGAAGTGACCCTATCGAACCAGTATGACAAAGTGGTGACAGGGGTGTGGATCCGAATCGAAGCCTCCGAGGCAGACCAGTGAATGTTATAATTACCATTAATTATCATAATGATATTAGAAAAGACTTAGCTAATTTTTATTTAAAACAAATTGACTACGCTCTTTTTTCCAGTTGATTAAATTTTCTAAACTCTTCTTCCTTGAGTTATGCCCACTAAAAGTGACACTTAAGTGGACTGAAGGTACGAGAACCGTTATGAGGGTAAGGAAAGAAGATAGGGAAGGGAATGGGAACAAGGGAGGGAAGGTTCAAATGGAGAAGGGGAAGGAAGCATTATGTAATTTAGAATGCTCCGAATACACAAAGTACTGAAATTTAAAAAAACAAATAGGCTCTTACAGAAGCAGAAATATTAAATACAATTTAATATTTTATTAGCAATAATTCTAGGGGTCTAAAGTGACTATTCTTTATGAGGAAAACAGTAAATATACAATGTGGTTAATCAAACTGGAGGAAGCCCTGGTTATTACTCTTGATGGATTCCACACAATGCATAAATCTGTAAAACTACATGAAAAATATCTCTAAGAATATATAATATAATATAAATACATATATATATATTTATTATATATATATATTATTCTATACTATTATTTATGAATAAATATACAATGTTATTTAAAAATGAATACGGTTATCTGCTGTTTCAGGGGATGGTAGCCTGGAGTCCTGAAAGAGCTCGTGTATGATTGCTTTGTAGCTTGTTTATGGTAATATTGTAAACTTTACCACTTTTTCTAAGCAAGCTTGAGTAATTGCTGCCTTTGAACTTGTTAGGTGTTGAGGAGGAGGAAGAGAAGAGAGTAATATGAAGACACATTCTCAAGAAGTTGAGAAGGAGAACTTGTTAGGTGTGAGAGAGAGAGAGAGAGAGAATAAGAGGACCATTCTCAAGAATAACGAGAACGCGAGGATATCTACTCAGGAATATAAGCTGTTATTATTAATTCAAGCTGAAGCTGCTACTGATACTGTGAGATTGATTACTGTTAAGGGGAACTGGGCTTCGTGTGGTATTAATAATAATAATAATAATAATAATAATAATAATAATAATAATTATTATTATTATTATTATTATTATTACTATTATAATTATTATAATTATTATTATTATTATTATTATTATTTTTATTATTATTATTATTATTATTATTATTATTATTATTATTATTATTATTATTATTCTACATTTGCATGAAAACGCTAAACTCCTAAGGGTGGTGCAGCGCCTGGGAAAATAGAGTCAGTGTGCTAACCATCCCTCTACTTAGGGTTGGGGAAGAGGCGGAGGTGACACAAGTGTGGCTGTAAGCCGTTTTTTTTTTTTTTTTTTTTTTTGGTGAAACAAGTGTTGGTGAGCCTGTGTTTGAAGCCTAAAAGGGAAGGATTATTCATTGCTGAGGAAGTAGTGTTTCGGGCCAGACTGTGAAAGTGTTAAGTTATTGGGATTTGATTCATTCCTTTGAATCCCGAAGTTAACTCTGTTAGGCTATTGCAAAACGGTGGGATTTATCTCTACGCTCCCAGACTGACTTGCTGAACTCCAAACAACAGATTGGAATGATTGCCAAAGAAATACAATGAGAAGCATCTACACTTTGTAAGAGAAATTATTTTTTATTTAGTAATTGATAAAATTTGATCTTGGTCAAGACGAGAGTTGGAATCATGTCTCTAGTATCCGGTTCACGTTTTTCTTCAGAATGGAAGAGAAATGTCTCAAGGAAAAAGACCATAGTGTAAAGCCATCTTCGGAAAAAAAAGTCTACATGAAGAATGCAGAGAATATTATGAAGATGAAGAAAAGAGGGAAAGAAACAAATATATATATATAGAGAGAGAGATGAACATATATTGGCATAAGTTCAGACTAGTAGAAGAAAGGATGTGTGATGATAAACTGCTGTTAATTTTAAGTAGGAACAAGCAGAAGGAGGCGACAGCAGATGAAGGAGGAACAAGAGACGAGCAAATATGATGGTGGGAGGAATCCCGTGGCATCGTTACCCGAAACTCCTGTATCAGGGAGGCAGAAGGGAAGTACAGAAGGAGCACGTTAGAATTCTACTGTACAAGAGAGAATTTCTCCATCCACAATATTAGTGACTTGATCAAAGGTGACCACAGTAAAAATTGTGAATGGGCACTGTACCCTTGGGAGACACTTCCTAACATTATAAGATCATTACTTAAAGTATCATAATCACAGCACTATTTATTTACCTAATTAGGGATCCTTATAAATTATAATATCTTTTATAAATTCACTCCTTACCTTTAAGATATAAAATGTCAACTAAAGAATTAACAGAGAAAAGTTTGTAACTGAAAGACATGTTTGAGTCCTGTGAAGTGAATAATGAAAAAATTCATATCTCCCAAGTGATACATTGTACGACCCTGCTTCTAACTCGACATTATACCTAATGAATAACTAAAGTGTAATGAGCACTTGTCAATACCCAATAATAACCCACATGGAGACAAAAACACAGAAGGCTGATTGATCCATACATTTTATACGTACATACTTTCATACACTGATACCACATGTCCATTCATTCTAAAAGTAAATATTTTTATACATTACATGTATTTGGTTTATCCGAACAAATGTTGCTTAACTCTACACATTCATTTACGGCATATCTATGCACATTCATGCATTATAAATCTATATAAGTTTACAATATAATTGTAATACATTTCTATCCATTCGTTTAGTATACAGCTCCATACATAATTTACCAATATACATTCAAATATTATATACAGGTACATGTATAAACACTGAATATCTATGCAGTTTCCAACACTATAAATTTATACACATCTAAATACTGCTTACTTCTAGAAGTAAATAATTAACTGCCTTCTACACACTCTAACATTATATTGCTATATACATTTAGCCATTGTATAGCTATACACTTCTATACATTGTTTGCCTACGAATATCTGAACACTGTATTACTGTACAGGTATAAATACATAAGACCATGCACATCTAAATGTTGTATTTTAAGGCATGCCCAAGACTGTAGTGATATACATCTCCGTATATCTCTATATGTCTAAACATTTAACCATTATAGAGCTATGAAAACATTGATGATACAAATACTGTTTTGCTATACATGCCTTTACTTAGCATGTATATTTAAATCCATACATGCATCTTATTTCTAGACGCAGTGAAATACAACTATAAACACGTTGCATGGATATACATGTCTACATATTGCACGGCTATATACATTCATGTAAATTGCAATTATATATATCCAAACTTTTATTTTTTTTATTTTTATTATCACACCGGCCGATTCCCACCAAGGCAGGGTGGCCCGAAAAAGAAAAACTTTCACCATCATTCACTCCATCACTGTCTTGCCAGAAGGGTGCTTTACACTACAGTTTTTAAACTGCAACATTAACACCCCTCCTTCAGAGTGCAGGCACTGTACTTCCCATCTCCAGGACTCAAGTCCGGCCTGCCGGTTTCCCTGAATCCCTTCATAAATGTTACTTTGCTCACACTCCAACAGCACGTCAAGTATTAAAAACCATTTGTCTCCATTCACTCCTATCAAACACGCTCACGCATGCCTGCTGGAAGTCCAAGCCCCTCGCACACAAAACCTCCTTTACCCCCTTCCTCCAACCCTTCCTAGGCCGACCCCTACCCCGCCTTCCTTCCACTACAGACTGATACACTCTTGAAGTCATTCTGTTTCGCTCCATTCTCTCTACATGTCCGAACCACCTCAACAACCCTTCCTCAGCCCTCTGGACAACAGTTTTGGTAATCCCGCACCTCCTCCTAACTTCCAAACTACGAATTCTCTGCATTATATTCACACCACACATTGCCCTCAGACATGACATCTCCACTGCCTCCAGCCTTCTCCTCGCTGCAACATTCATCACCCACGCTTCACACCCATATAAGAGCGTTGGTAAAACTATACTCTCATACATTCCCCTCTTTGCCTCCAAGGACAAAGTTCTTTGTCTCCACAGACTCCTAAGTGCACCACTCACTCTTTTTCCCTCATCAATTCTATGATTCACCTCATCTTTCATAGACCCATCCGCTGACACGTCCACTCCCAAATATCTGAATACGTTCACCTCCTCCATACTCTCTCCCTCCAATCTGATATTCAATCTTTCATCACCTAATCTTTTTGTTATCCTCATAAACCTTACTCTTTCCTGTATTCACCTTTAATTTTCTTCTTTTGCACACCCTACCAAATTCATCCACCAATCTCTGCAACTTCTCTTCAGAATCTCCCAAGAGCACAGTGTCATCAGCAAAGAGCAGCTGTGACAACTCCCACTTTGTGTGTGATTCTTTATCTTTTAACTCCACGCCTCTTGCCAAGACCCTCGCATTTACTTCTCTTACAACCCCATCTATAAATATATTAAACAACCACGGTGACATCACACATCCTTGTCTAAGGCCTACTTTTACTGGGAAAAAATTTCCCCTTTTCCTACATACTCTAACTTGAGCCTCACTATCCT